AAGAGCTTCTAACCTGGTTTTATAAACTAACTTTTAATTCCAAAAATCAAGATATGTCTAAACAAGGAGTAAATAAGCAACTTAAAGTTGTAGAAAGTAAAGAATGCTTTGTTTCTGAAGTTTGTAAAATTAATGCTGAAATTTTTAATAAAAATTTGACTAAAAAACAAGATAGGGAGAAAGAAAGCATTGAAAGAGATAAATTTAGAAATACTGATGCTAAATTAATATAGAAAAACAAATATTTTGGAATAAATGATTATTACCTAAAAGAATGCTCTGGTTTAAAATAAATGATGGTAAAACTTTTAATTAAAGTTTTACCCATTGAAATCAATAAAATGATTAATAACAAGAAAGATTTTAAAGCTGAAAATTTTAAAGACTAAGAAGCTCAGAAGATGGGCATTGATGATTTAACATAGATCACAGACGATCTTAAAGGTAAAAATAGGAATCAAAAAATAGTACTTTTAAGTATCACAATGAAGGATGTAATAAAAGACTTGTATAAATCAACAAAATTGAAATATTTCAGATACTTTATTTTAAAAAAAGGTGTCTGAAATTATGGAAGAAGAAACATTATTAGAAGAATTGTATAGTTTATTAATTAATGAGAAATTTGTGTTTGAAAAGTTTTGCAAAAACACAAGACTGTAAAGATTAATTTGTAATGAAAGCAAATAGTTTTTTTAAAGTATAAAAATTGAAGATTTTTAATCACATTTTAATTACTTAATTCATCAATTTTCTATGATACTTAAAATATTAAAAACATAAAAAAATTCTTTTTAAGAAACTATAATATTTTATAATTCAAAAAGTGTATTAAAAGTTAAATTTTGTAATTTTACTACAAACAGAGAAAAATAATTTATTAGTAATAAAAGCTATGTTAAATTAAATAAGTAAAAAATATATTTATCTTAGATAAAAAGTAGTAAGAAAAATACAAGAATATAAGTTAAAAATCTACAATAAAGTATTTTACAAAGGTTTATTCAAGTAAATTATCAAAATCTAAAAAAATTTCTAAATATTCTAAATGTGTTAATCCTTTTTCATGAAATGATTTAAAATTTCTGCATTTTGTCATGATTAATTTTAAGACTCTTAAAGTATCGTTAAGTGATTCTTTAGATGAAAACAGGCATCTCATTGTTTCTTTGTTATAGTGGATATATTCAAATGTATGGGTATAGATCATTTTATATTCAGATGAAAATGGAGTTATACACTTGTATCCTTTTATAAAAAATTCTCTAAACCAATACTCAGTCATAATTAAATGAATTAAAAAACTTAATTTTATATTAAAACAGCTGTTATTATTCAAAAATTCTTTATAGTATTTACTATCGTATTTAAAAATTTCAAAATTCTCTAAAATCTTCTTTGTAAAATTAGAGTTAAATTTTATTTTAATAAGACTACTGATTAATCTAGCATCACTAATAAAGTTGGAAAGATATCTTTTGTATCTGTCATATATTACTGTTTTTATTTCAGAACAAATCAAATCATCACAAACAAGAGTATAAAGCACAACAATGACATCAAAAATGTTTTTTACATTTATTGAAAATTCTATTTGCAAGCTTATTTTACCAATATCAGAATAATTTAAATCATCTAATACTTTGATATAATCATTTAAATATTCTCTTATTGTATTATTCTCATCATTAATATTGAAATTGAAAAATTTGCTGATGAGAGATAAAGACAAATAGAGTACTATTACATTTCTTTCTTTTGGTGAAATGTAATTATTTACAAAAGAATTATAAAAATCGACTTTAAACAAACCACAAACAAGACTAATCAAATTGTATTTGACATCAAAAAAATAGAAATTCTTTTTATAATTACAATATTTAAAATCTGCATTGCAGAAATATTTATTTATAAATTTTGTTTTATAAATATTATTTTTAATCATAAATGTTTCTTCATTTGATTTTCCGAAAATTGAGAAACAAAAATCAATAGCGAAATCATTTAGTATATTTAAATCAATAATCTGATTAAGTCTAGATATTAATGTATTTAAACTTTTTGTATGAAAATAATCCTTTATTTTATAAACCTCAAAAAATATTTTAAAATCACTGTATTTAGATTCTAGCTCCTTCAAAATTGTGGATACAAATGAAGAATTACACATTGCATTTATATTATTTTTGTAAATATAATAACAATTAAGTCCATTTTTAATCAAATATTTAAAATCATAAATTACATTTTCAAGATCAGATTTTCTACAAATAATAAAGAAAGATATGTTAATTTTCTGATCAAAATAAACAGTTCCAAATCTAAAGCTACTCAAATTATTTAAATCAACTATAGAATTTTCTTCACAATTAAAATATTTCATTGTTCTACAATAAATATTTTTTTTGAAACTTTCTTCTTTATATTCTAAGTTAAATAAATTTTTAAAAGTATTAATTTCATAGCCGGAAATAAAACCAAACATTGCATCGACATCTAAAAAAATATCACATTCATTAAAATATTTAAGTTCTTGTTTTTCATTTTTAATGTAAACAGTACTCAACAAATCTTCTAAAAAATCAATCTATCTATTAATAGACTATTATAAATAGTATTATTTTTAATTTTGACTATTTTAGATAGCATTTCATGAAAATTTTTTGCTTTCAAACAATCTATATTGTAATTAAGTACATATAAATTTTTGCTGTTATTAATATTTAAATTAATTATATTAGGTGTATTTTCATAAATATGGAATCTAAATAGCGTATCATAATTGTTAATTTTAATATTTATGTTAAAACAAGAGTTTAGTGTAGATACAGTGGCGGTCAAAAAAAACGCAACTGATAAAAAGTGACATAAAAAATGTTACTTAAGAAACAATTTTCTTTTATATATATCAGTAATAC